TCTTCGTGTAGTAGCACAATTGATAAACGATTTCATGATGGAAATGACTAATGAGCAGCACATAATATGTCATAACGTATTCGGATCGCCAGGGTATTTATAACTCTTGCAGTCCAAGAATGCTCAAATAATTCAACCGACCCAAAATACTTGTGACCTAATATTGCTACCAAAACACTGGCAAAAAGAAAAATCTCATACATGCGGAATGTTTCGATGACACATTTTATTTTGATTTTGAAAATGGAAAAAAGTGTTGATTCGACAAACAGACATTACGATTTAATGAACGGTGTTTCGCATAATATAAGGTATTCAAAAAATGAACCAAAATTTTCTATAGGATCAATATATGGAAACTATAGAAATTAAGAGGAAGAACTGGGTTCGAAACGTATTGAAAACGTCAAAAACCTCGAAAAGTGGGTGCCCCACGATTNCGAGGTGTTAAAAATAACGATTTGGTGTTGGGAAAAAACTCCAGTAATATTCAGGAGTATATAGGTAAGCTGACTTGTGGCTCTTGTCCAAAACTGTATATTGGCTAAGCAGGGAGAATATTTTCGCCAAAGGATTAAAGAGCATAGAAGTAGTTTTATATAGAAAAGCCAGTTCGACATTTGCGAACCACCTTTTAGTAGAAGGACATGAGTTCAATCATGAATACGGTGTGTTACATTTAGAAGAGAAGAGTTCAGGAAATTCACTAAATGATCAATTAGAATTGAATAGCTCCCCGTTACTAAATATGTTTTCAAATGTGAAAACTGAGACATAAGCCCAGGTAATTTAATTCATTACAAACTTAGGTGAAAATCAGGTACTTGAAATGTAGGTAATTGTAGAATAAGGTGTATTTAGCATTGAATATGTAGAATTGTTTAGTGAAGACACGCCCGAAGAAGCCATTGTATGGTAAAACACGTGTTGCATTTTTGTAAAATTCATTTATAATACAAAAATTTCACATGTTGGTATACTTCAAATGTATATTTTTAACCCATACTGGTTAAACTACATTGCAATGACATAAACAGTATAATTGTTGACACTACGTGCATCGTATATGCAGACGACATATCTGTCTCAATTTCGGATAAGGATGACAATCTCTTAAAAGAGAAATGTAATAGGGATATTAATAATTCAAACATAGAGGAAACTCTCTCTCTACGATTCTGTCACTGACCAAAAAAACTACTATGATATAGAAATCTCTGTGAATAATAACACACAGTCTTTCAGGTTGAGATTCGTAAATGTCTAGGGCTCACTTGTATTAACTGAAAAAGTCATTGTGACATACTGACTTCTCTTATTTAATGCTGAACCTTGGATCAATATTAACTATTGACAAATTAATTAACTATTACCGGGCTCATATAGAATCTGGAATAAGATATGGCATATGCCTTTGGCGTTGCTCTACACAAACCCCAATGTATTTATTGCTCAGAAACTGATTATGCGAGTCACATCGGAGGTTGATCAAAGAACATCGTGTGATCCCTACTGAATTATCATAAAATTCTGTCTCTCACAGATAATGTCATCTTTGAGATGTGTGTTTATGTTCACAGTAACAAAGTAATCTGACGGCCAACTTATCTTCTTACCTTGGGCTTGAGTTGTTCAAATTAATTGCCTGCAGCATTGAAAGAAACCATAGCTATCCACCTTTTTTATTAAATAAATCAAAAAACTTTTTATTGGGCCACAATTTTCATAATATCAAGGAATTCATCAGATTTTGATCATTTTTACAATTTTGTATTTCCTAAACTATTCTTAAAGCAGTTTGTGTCATCTGTTGTATGTGCTTGAAAAGTTGGTTATTGTTGTTTGTTTTATTATCAAGTGATTAGAAAATGGGAGATGTAAAAAAGACAT